CCCCCCCCCGAAGGGCCCCAAAAACGTTTTGGGGGTTAGGTGTCGGAAAAAAGTTTTTTGTGCGCCCTTGGGGAGCCAGGTCGACGCAGTCTTCAAAATATGTCGTCCATAGATCGATGTTCTGGACATTTGTCAATATTCATTTTCACTCCTCGATCATCTGAATTGAATTTGTTCCCTCGTTCGACAAGTTTCCCGAAGGTTCTAGTCGACCGGGGGCGGGCGGGGATTGACACGAAAATTGGCGGTGCCCGTCAAACCACCGTCGTCGTCGTGTGCGGTTTCGCTGTCCTCGGCGAAGGCCATATATCTCTTCATGCAGGTGGTGGTACTTTCCTGGCAAGTTTCACATTCATTCAGGTTTATTTCGTGGAAATCGTGGAAAGTTCATGGAGGACGGGCAACAACCTATCCCGTTGATTTGTCTCAACTTGCCATCAAACCCTGGCGTTTGCCGTCTACCGCAATTTTCTTCGTGGAACTGGCGAAAAGAAAGAATGCTTAATTTGCTACCAAAGTGCAGCTCGATACGTTCTTTTCCCCATTCAGACCCGAACTATCGCCTTCCAGCAGCATGAAGATGTACAAGATTTACGTCCCACAGTAGAAGTTGGTTCGTGTTTTTCTTCCACGGAGTTTGAATCGAAGCATTCCGTAGAATATCAAAAATATCCATGGAAAAGTAAGTTCTGTAGTTATCCACGGAGGGAGAGTTTTCGATGGGTTTCGGCCTGAAAGCAGTACCACCGCGGAAGTCCTGGAAACGCGCTTTAGAGAATGAATTTCGCCGTTTCCATCGAAGATACGCTTGACTCATCTGAAGTTTCGCTTGGTTTCAACGGAAGCTGAACACATATAGGGTGTGTCCTCGTCGTTGCTCATTCGACTCTGTCTGATATCACCCACCGGGCAGTGCTTTCCGCCGATCACGATTTTGCACCGATGTTGGCTAAGAGGACCCTGCGCGCATTTGCCTACACGTTCCTTTCCTACCCAGGGTTCAATCGCCACCGCCACAACGGTGCCTGCGTAGGCTTGTGACATGTTCATGCTCCTACGCGGGAGCCCGGTCTCGTGGGTAACGCGCGTTCCCACCGCGCGTACTCTGGGGCCGGGCGGAATCACTATTCCGGTCGGAGTTCCCCACAACTGAATGAGTTTGTCCGGGCATTTATGAGAGAACATCCCGATTGTTGCACTTTGCGCCCGGAGTCGAACTTGCGCCCAAACATCCACTAAGCTTGGAGAGCTACCACTGAAGCAGCCGATGTCAACGTAGAAATGTACAAGAGCATCTGGCATCTGGCGCTGCGAGAGATGCGTAATTGGTTCGGCAAGCGGTTCACTCTCACATCCTGACACCTTCTCGCCTCTATCCGAGCTCGTCGCTACACCGATCCCGTGTCCTTCGTCCCGACATAGTCCTCCATCCCTTTCCAGCGGTTTTGCTACATCGGACCTCTCTCAACGCCAAACCCAGAAATTAGCCGCCCTCCCCCCTATCATATCGTTCGAGGTGCAGGCTACACCCATTCCCACTCTCCCGGCTCAAAGCACAGTTCCGTCCAACCCACATATCTTTGGCTGCTCACAACGTCTATGTTTGCAACCGCCCAGGCGTTTCCTCGCCCTCGCCCACGACACACAAGTCTCGTCTCTACCCGAAAACCTGGCTGGATCGATTCCTTCTTCCCCACCCCAAGCAAAAATTCATTCCAGCCCACCGTTTTGGCTTCAACCGACATCGCTCGTCGTCAAGCAAATACGTTCGCCGACGCTTCTCATGCCATGCCATCTTGCGCCCGGCTGGGCTCTTTCCTACACCGATCTCTTGCTATCCAACCCACGCTTTGCACGCCATCCTGACCTGCAACTGATATCGCTCCTCGCCACCAATCCCTGCCCCGCACCT